TTTCAGGTTTTTTCGTTCCTTTGTATTGTTTCCTTATACTGCGAGCTGACCAGTTGAGTTTAAAACTGAAAATGCCGCTGCATGTATGCATGCCCCCCTCCTCCTTCAGCACTCATCAGCTGTGAAGCAGTCTTTGAACCCCTGCCGGCCGCTGCTCTCTCACTAAGCGAGCCACCGATTGCCTCAGCCCTTTGCGGACGCCACTGTGAAGCTCAGCGAACTGCGTGGCCGCCATTACGGTAATTTTAAAGTCATGCCATTAAAAAAAATCATAGCTGCACAATTTCACATAGTCTAAAAGTCTAGCTCAGGAAAAAAAGTGGGTTTTCCCCATTCTTTTCCCTGCTACCTTCCACCCTGTTACCACTGTCCATTACAAGTTTGGAATTAAATTGCCCCAGCAAGTTTGTCACTTTAGTGTGATACACATGGATATCTGCCGTACTTCTGAAAAGCATTGGACATATAATTCAGCTTCTTGAAAACCTCAGCTTTTCCTTTTAAAAAAAAAGCCTGCCAAAATTATTATGGCGGTGTATTTTTAAAAAGACGTGTAATTTGCTTGCTCTTTCGGAAGAGAGATTGATGGCTGCTACGGCTGAGAGAGACTGTGGTGTCTTTATTTCTCTGAGTACTAAAGTATATTAAGCATATTTTAAAAATCTGCTGAATTCATGCAGATCATAGAATATAAATGTTCTAAATACAAAGTTGACTCCTGAAAGTGCAAAAATATGTTGAATTACAGCATAGTCTCATTTGTCAATATAGTCTGTGATAAAACTTGCCTTCAGAAATTGTGTGTGCTTCATCACTGGAGGTTTTTAAGAAGAGTTTGTCTGAAACAGTATAGGACAATGATGGTTAACCTTTTCGGCACCGAGTGCCGAAACTAGAGCATGTGCTGGAACCCGGAAGAGAGCAACTGGCCGATGCACATGCGCGCAGTGGCCAGCTGCACTTCCGGGTTCTGTCGCGCACATGCATGCCAGCCAGCTATCCCGCGTGCATTCACGTGATGGAAACTGGAAGAGCAGCTGGCGACGGCGCACATGCCCACAGAGAGGGTTCTGCGTGCCACCTCTGGCACGCATTCCATAAGTTCGCCATCACGGGTATAGGATCTCCTGCTTGAGCAAACCACACTAAAATGTTTCAGTCTTAAAATTGAGATATTATTTTGAAAGCAGTGATTCGATTTTTAAGGGGCTTAACTTTAAATTGATTTGGAAAAAAAAAAATCCCACATAACACAAACTTCCTAAACTTCCTGAAGTTTACTTGTACTGCATTTGGAAAATCTGGGCAATTTATTTGTAAATGGCTGTAGTGAAATTGTACATTAGAATGAAATGCACATTGAGTATTTTGGATGCTAATTCAATAGTAATTAGAAGTTTTGGATTTTAATCCATTCAGAATTTGTGGAGTGCTTATACATTTGGTAGGATTATCTTGGATTGCAGAGGAGTAACTTTAAACTGTCACAATACCCATTGATCTGTCTGTCACAAAAAATTCTAATTTTGTGTGTGTGTGTGTGTGTGTGTGTGTGTGAGAGAGAGAGAGAGAGAGAGAGAGAGAGAGAGAGAGAGAGAGAGAGAACTCAGAAAATTGTAGACCTCAAAAGATAATAGATTTCTAATATTTAACAGACAATGCTGTTGATAATGTAGATTGTTTGTTCAAGAATTAGCCTAGTCTAATGATCAAAGGATCAGGTCTGTTTATGTACTGTATTTCCATAATTGCTTTTACCATGATGTTATTGAATAAACCATAGTTGGTTAATAGATTGTACTGCAGTACACAATAAACTGGTTTACAAATGATAACAGACTGGGTTCATACACTGCTCTAATTAAATATAAATCAATCAAATCTTATGGCTTACTGCACTACTGTATGTCTCTAAGAATCAGGTAACCAAACTATCTTAAATCAGCTTTAAGGTTTACTAAGCAATTTCTTATCAGTTCGTTAGTATAAACTTTCTCAATGTACTACTTTAAAGGTAAAACGGCATACAGTGGGAATATTAAATAAATCTATTCTACTTTGAGGACCTTGGAAGAAAGGTATCAGAATCACGTGGTTTGAAAGTAATAAAGGGTAAAATAATGTTGGCTATCTCTGATGAGAAGGGTTTATGGAGGTTCTTAGTCATCCAGGTCATGGTTGTCCCAAAGATGCTTTGTCAAGGGCAACTGGACTTTATGGTTTTTCTTTTGAAGACGTTTCTCTTCTCATCCAAGAAGCTTCTTCAGCTCTGACTGGATGATGGGAAATGTAAAAGGAGAACAAACCCATTAGGACAAGATTCAGCAGTCCATCTGCATTTAAAAGATAAAGGCCACTCTTTTGAAGACAGCAAAGTCCACATTTTGGACAGAGAGGACCTCTGGTTTGAAAGAGGGGTCAAAGAGGCCATCTATGTCAAAATTGAACAGCCCCCTCTCAACAGAGGGGGAGGGATATGGCATCATCTATCTACAGTCTACAACACAGTCCTTTCAACAGTTACATCCATTTGCATTACTCGGGTGACCCTGATAACACAGATAAGCCTCAAGGACTCTCTAAAAGAATGCAAATGACCAGCTGTCTACAAGGAGTATAAATCCTTCCATTTTCCACCATCCAGCCAGAGCTGAAGAAGATTCCTGGATGAGAAGTGAAACGTCTTCAAAGAAAAACCAGAAAATCCAGTTGTCTTTTGAAAAAGCACCTTTGGTGTGAAGGGAACAATATAGAAGATATTTGTGCTATAGAAAAGGAGGGGAATAAATGTATTTGGGAATTTTCCAGATTTTGGATTACAGCTCCCAGAATTTCCAGCCAATATCGGGGTTACTGAGACTTGGAGTTGAAGTTCACCTATTGGGAAGATGCCAAGAGCTGAGAAGGCTATATAGTAGACCAGCCTGGGTCAAGATATTGATAGCAGATATTTTTTGTTCTTCTGCCACATTAACTGGTACTGGTAATTTACTTCAGTAAATCAACCTATCTTCCTCAAGTTGGACTTTGGGAATTAAATAGTAGTTCCTATTTGGAAAATTGCCCAAATATTGCAACTGACTTGTTAAACTATCTTCTTTTATAATAATACATTGTAATTTGCAATGTTGCAACAAAGGATTATGATCAGAAGCAAGTAGTACATAATCAGTGTAATCTTTATTTTTTTTCAGGGATATAAGATGACACACGTGTATCCTGGCCCTCAATTTTTCTACAAAAGGCCACTTTAAATTGTTTAGGACAATTTGTTTCTTAAAGTGTGGTTCTAGGACCCCTGGGAATACCCCAAGACCCTTTCAGGGATCATTAAAATCAAATTTATTTGCCAGACATTGAAGATATTTTGAAAAAATTAAAAGAGTGTCACTCTTTTCTTTTAAAAAAAATCTGACAAAATAAAGGTTTTTTTCATGAAAATAATGAATTTAATATTGTTATCTTTACAGGATTCAATGTATTCTATGAATGCATCCATTTTAATTTTAATACGGTAAAAAACAAAGCCCATACAAGCAAAAGTTCTGTATTATTTTTAAATGTGGGAAGGGCTCCTCCATAACTTGTAAAAGTAGGAAGGTATCTCGAGGCCACAGATTTAAGAAACGTGTATTGAATGGGTGTCTATAGGTCAATATCTGTACATCTCTGTATGTATTGATTGTGCCAAATAAAATAGGTAACATCAAATCAAAGTAGAGTATTTAATATGGTTCAGATTCAATAATACTTCTCACTTGGTTGCTGTTGTGAAATGTGTGTGCAGTAATGGATATTTTTATGTGAAAATCTGCATCTGTCTTTGTATTCCTATTTTGACTATGCCAAATGACATGTAGAGTAAAATCAAAGGAAAGATGCATATAATCCTTGTAATTGGATCAGATTTATTAGTCTTTAGGAAAACATTCTTTTTTCCAAAATAAATCTCTTTTTACTTAAGGTGTCTGGACAGTAGGCACTAAAAAAGAAGAAAAAGTAACTTTTGAAAATTTGAAGTCATATGTTGGTGATTTTTACATAAATGTGTGTTTCAGTAGTTGATCTATTTATTGAGAGGCAAATATCAAATGTTTTCCCTGTGCTGTCCCACCTAAGTTTCATATTCAAATTACTATTTTTAATAGACATCCATATTCATATTTAGTTGTTATATAAAACCAATTGTTTTAAACCTAAGGATTAGTTTTGAAGTATTCAGAGGGGCATAAACAAGCTTTCCAAATGGCTGGCATTTGAAGTGGCCCCATAATATCAAAATGGCTGCCCATTAGGTGTTGACTGACAGCAAATCCTGTCATGAAGAAATACTTTTTTCTTTTCTTTTTAAGATAATGCTATTAGATTTCTTTTAAACATGTTAAAAACTAACATTTTATTTTATAAAGAAATATTTAAGGACTTACAAATGCTTTAGGACATAAGGGCTTGCATAAAACAACTTCTTAAATGGTTTTGTAATAGGAGAATATTATTCCTAAAAAATAGGATTTCCTAGATTTTTTTAGGATAATAATGTGGACTTCTAGGATTCTGCAAGCGTAATGGCTGAATTATTATCTTGTTTCTTTCACTGAGGCAGTTTCTTCTTTATGACTTGAGCGTTGAAGATAATGTTCTACAGTAACTCCCTAAGGCAGTTTCCTTGCAGAGATTAGTAACTTCCTTTGATAATTGCATCATTTTAAAGATAAATATTTAGTAAAATCTGAATGTGTAGCTGGATTGCACATCTTTAAACTTAGATTACATTGGAACATTTGTTAAAAGTGTGTTGGGAAACTGTTAATCATACATTGTATAATAGTGTCAAAAGAACACAGGAATTGCCTTCTGATTAAATTGCATGGTATAAAGCATTGTGTGGAAGAAAGAATACTCGTATAAAAGTATATTAGTCCTTTTGTTTCAAACTATTTTATTGATTCATTTTGATTCCTAAGTTAACATTAATTTGTTTTCAAATTCTCTTCACATAGGTGGTGACATTCTTGGTGATTCTGAGCTACAGCAATTTTCTTCAAGCTTAAGAAGAAGAAGAAATTCTTAAGTATTAAACTTGGAGATGTGAACAGACCGGTTTTGCTGAAAGCAAGTTACATAAACTGCAGAACAACATAAGCAATTCTACCTCTTTCATACAAGAGTTAGCAACAATTTTTATGAAATTATTTCTTTCTGGCAGAGGTTAGCTCCATCTACAGATGAGCAGAATACCCAACAACCCTCTCTTGAAGGAGTCATCAAGGCTCAAACATCTGCTACCAAATAATCGGAAAATTTCTGAAGTGGCCCTGTTTCTTGCATAAAAACTTGACACTTCTTGTTAAAACTGCCAAAGGAAACATGCCAACTCAACCTCTTTTGGTGTACATGGATGGTCCAGAAAGTATAGCCAGTACTGTTGGTTCACGAATGGACAATAATGATGCCACTATGCCAGTAAAAGGAGCCAACACAATCTCCTATAAGAACTTGCAAGACAAGTTCTTAATGCAAGGTGAAGGATGTGTGTCTTTAGATTGCATGTTTTGCGAACAGACCTTCAAGCATCCAGAAGATCTTGGTAAGCATGTCTTAACCCAGCATAGGCCGACACTTTGTGAACCGGCAGTTTTGCGTGTGGAAGCGGAGTATGTTAGCCATCTTGATAAAGGACAAGGGAGAATTGATTTGCCATCCCTGGACGTAAATGAAAAGGATAGCCAAGACTTCAGCTGTGTGGTTTGCGGGCAAACATTTGATGAGGCTTTTGATGTTGAGGCCCACATGAGGAAGCACAAGGATTCTTTCACTTATTGGTGTAGTGTATGTGGAAGGAGATTTAAGGAGCCCTGGTTCCTCAAAAATCACATGAGGACTCACACTGGCAAACCTGGCTCTCGCAGCAAGGTGCTGCAAGGATCTGAGAGTCCCATAACGATAAATGAGGTTGTTCAGGACCAAGCGGCAGAAAGCATAACATCCCCTTATAAAATCTGCATGGTGTGTGGCTTTCTATTTCAGAATAAGGACAGTTTAATCGAGCACAGCAAAGTACATACCAAAGATTCTCTAGCCAACCGCAATGGCTCTCCATCGGAAGGGGATGGTAAAGAAAGTACGACACCCAGGGAAGAATTTCTGCAATTTTTAAACCTAAAGCCACTTTCAACTTCTAATAATAGCAAACAGAAAAAGCCTGTGAAATGGATTGCTGAATTGGATCCGTTCAGTACCTATCAGGCATGGCAGCTGGCTACTAAAGGTAAAGTTGCTATTGGCCACGGACAAACAAAAGATGCAGGTCAAGAGGGAAGCACGGACAACGATGACTCGTCTTCGGACAAAGAAGAACTTGGGGAGATTTGGAACGCGAGCAAAGCAAACCAGACTGAAAGTGCAGGAAAGACCAAGGGAAGCAGAGGGGGAAGTTACACTGGGATTGGTAACATGCCACAGGACAAATTTAAATATCGTTGCCGCGAAGTGCCTTCCTTGCATATGGATTCTAAGCTGTCCCAGAACAAAGACAAGCCTACCCATTGTTCAGAGTGTGGCAAAGCCTTTCGAACTTACCACCAACTTGTCCTCCACTCGAGAGTCCATAATAAGAAAGAGCGGAAGAATGATCTAGAAAACGGTTGTGGGGAAGGGAAGCAGCCGAGAACATGCCTTCCTGATCCTGGGAACCTGGATGAGAACGGAGCCGAACGATTGGAGGGAGGATCTGAAGACGGCTCTGAGGATGGGATAATAGAGACTCCAGGTAAGACAAGTTAAGAACAATTCACAATAAAAAAATGTATTTTGTTCATTTAGGCATAAGAGGGTGTCCGTATTAAAGGTAATGTGGAGGTGAGACGTTTTGCTAACTGCTTCCCAAGGAATATTATCACAATATTATCACTATTTTACAGTAGTTTTAACTTATGGTGTAATTTGCATGTACACCAAGTGGAAAGATGCTTGCATAAACTTAAAACGCATAGCATATTTCATATACAGATGACATTGGTGTGTAGAATTGTATTAGGATTAGACATGGATATTTTCATTTCTTTAATACTAGACATTTTAGGTTTTGTTTCCCACCACAGGTGAGAGTGTACTCACCTAAAGATACCAGTAAATCATTTTGTTATGCAATACAGGTAATCCTCAATTTATGACCACAATTGAGCCAAAATTTTCTGTTGCTAATTGAAACATTTTTAAAGTAAATTTTTGTTCCATTTTACGACCTTTCTTGCCACATGTATTAAGTTGGTAACACAGTTGTTAAGTGAATCTGGCTTCAGAAGGTTGCAAAAAGTGATAACATGACCCCAGGACACTACAACTGTTTTAAATCCATGCCAGTTGTCCAGATTTTGATCACGTGGCCACGGAATGCTGCAGAGTGTGAAAAATGGTAATAAATTCCCTTTTTCAGTGCTGTTGTAACTTCAAACGGCCACTAAATGAATGGTCGTAAGTCAAGAACTATCTGTACTCTGTACTTTGGAGAGATTGGCAGAAATTTGGAGATAGCCACATAGGTCCTTTCTATAAAACAACCAGTATATTTCTTGCTTCCTGTTTGAACTCTCCTCTACTCTATAGTCACTCCTGTTAATCAAACTTCAATGCAGTTACAGTTGGAAATGAACTCAAATGAGCATAATACGGTGCCTGCTGCCCTCTAGTGATAAACCTTAAGAACTGCATGCTAATTAGATTCACCTTTCATAAATTTGGTGATTTGGTGATTCTGTATTGAGATTTGGGCAGCTCGCAGTATAAAAAACAAAGCACAAATACTGTAAGATAAATAAAAATTCAGTAAGGGTAACTGAAGAAATAAATACTTGTCTCCAGTGTTCAGTTTTGGCAATCATGCATCTGACAGGATTCTAATTTGCAAGGATTCTTCCCTAAAATTAAGTAGAATTAATTCTCTTTTAAATAATGCAGGATTTACATAAGGCAGTGAGATGTGAGGTTGCCAATTATAAAAATTAAACAAGATATTTTGCCATGATGTTTTCTAATGAATGAAAACATGTGACTGCGGAACGGTTTTAAAAATGACTTTATTATTGTGCTTGCTTCAGCTTGAACAATGGCTCTTGGAAGCTTCATTTTCCCATTTGTAATTGCAACTAAGCTACACGAGCCCATTCTACCCATGTATCCCATCCTGCTTAAAATTCTTCCTAGTACATAATGTTATCTGTTGTTATCCTGATATCTGCTTTTCAGATTAAATCCTGCAGAGTGTAAACTTGCAAATTGTGTTCCCTGGGAGAGGGGCCGTTATGCAACCTGAAAAAGTAATCCAATCACTAGTGGCATTGAAGGGCTGTACTTTTGTGAGTTGTTTCTGAAGTCTGCCTGCCAAATGCCACTGCATATGTTCTAAGGTGTTGCGTACGTGTGCGTCCATGTGAGAAAAAGAATTTGCAAAAAAAATATTTCTATCTCTTGTGCCCAGATGTCAATTGTTTTTATGCCCCAACTGTTTTAGATGCAATGGTACTGTGTAGGGTGAAAAAATCTCAGCCTGTCAATGTCTTTTTTGCTGCCTAGAGGGCATTTATAATCTAAAATGATAGTTGTACTATCTGAATATCCAGGTCTTTAAAAATATTTCTGTTGGAAATAATTTTTTAAAAAGAAAAAATATCATTCCATAGTAAAATTAAATTTTGCTTTGCAATCTTAGCTTTCTGGTTTTATCATAGGAAAAGCAATTGATGTACTGTGGAAAATTAATAAATGTTTAATAAGTATCAAAGAAAAAGAACTAATTCTTTCTGCTTGCTGTTGCAGTCTGTAAATTCAAAACTACTTCACAAGACCCAGAGTTGGATGTAATAGGTAGTCCTCAACTTACGACAGCAAATGAGTCCAAAATTTCTGTTGCTAAGCAAAGCATTTGTTAAGTGAATTTTGACTCATTTTACCACCTTTCTTGCCACGGTTGTTAAGTGAATCAATGCAGTTGTTAAATTACTGACACGGTTGTTAAGTGAATCTGTCTCCTCCATTGACTTGGCTTGTCAAAAGGTCACAAAAGGGGATCACATGACCTTGGGACACTGCAACTGTCATAAATATGAGTCAGTTGCCAAGCATCTGAATTTTGATTGCATGTCCATGGGACGCAGCAATGGTCATAAATGCGAAAAATGGTCATAGGTCACTTTTTTCAGTGCCATTGTAACATTGAACAGTCACCAAACTAACGAGGATTACCTATACTTTTGTATGATGATCTTTAAGATGCAATGTATGCAAAAGAGACCCAAGAATATTTTTAAACCTTGCAAGGAAGAGCCAGGAAAACATCCAAAAAGTGGGATAGAAAGATTTCTTAGTTGGCCAGAGAAAAGATTTGAAAGCTGCTCTTTCTAGCAAAAGATTGCTAGTACTGACTGGGAGTCTCCAAACTTTTGGACTTGGCTTATTCATAGTTCTTTTTTTTAAAAAAAAAAAAATCTGTAAACATTGTGTGTAATTGGCATATGTGTTTCAAGAAAGATTTTATGTTTAATAATTTGCCTTGTAGAGGCTGTGCCATCTTACGGTCTTTCTTCAATCCTTTGAAACTGTTTGACTGTAGGTAAACTAAACTTTTGCACACTTCTGTATCCCACTGTCATAGTTTAAATCTGCTCCATGATGGAATATTTTTGGATGATAGAATTGAATTGAGTAGTTCTAAAGCAGAGGTCTTCAAACTTGGCAGCTTTAAGACTTGTGGACTTCAATTCCCAGAATTCTCCAGCCAGCTATTCTATGCTGGCTGGAGAATTCTGGGAGTTGAAGTCCACAAGTCTTAAAGCTGCCAAGTTTGGGGACCCCTGTTCTAAAGGGTTGCAGGAAGATGGTGGATTAGATATACAAGATATACTGAGCAAGTATGAGTGATGTGAATAAGATATTAATAAAAGCATGTATGTTGAGAGAGAAAGACCCTTCCTTCCTTCCTCCCTCCCTCCCAGAAATATCAATTCCAAATTCAGTAGGCCCCAAAAAGATTAGAGTAAAATCTCTCCAGAAGGTCAGGAGCACTATATATTCTTAGCAGATATCTTTGCAAAACAAACCAAATCCTGTTACCATGTCTTATTTTTTTTTTCCCATTTATTTTGGTTTTTTATTTAACAATTTTGCAGCATATGGATATACAGATATAGATAGATAGAGATACATGTTCATTTCCCCCTTTTAGGAAGTACATTAACAGTAATCTGTTCACTTACTATTTTTGTCTTATAATCCTTTTAAAACAAAAGTTTATTTTCAAAAAAGATATCTACGAATGAACAAATAATTACAGAGGTTGCCCAATTATTGCACAAGATGTCTTTTTTTTCTTTTCTTTTTTTTACAATATCCAGAGTTGTGTTTATTACTTTTCTTTATTCCCCCCCCCCCCAATCTAAAGATAAAAATGAAGACGGGTTGGAAAGATCAAAAGTAAAAAATCTTGGAGCTACTAGAGAATGCAGCTACTGTGGAAAGTTTTTTCGTTCAAACTATTACCTCAATATTCATCTCAGAACTCATACAGGTAAAGAAAACTTTATTTTTCAATAAATAAAAAACAAATGTGATTCAATTTTGACACTCAATGGAAAAACAGTTTGTTGCATGCTGAGACAAAAAGGTAAGTTTCCCTTGACAGTAGAGACCACCAAACCAACGGACTGGGTAAAAAAGCTAAATAAAACTTTCCTAGAGTTATTGAGGAGTTCAGACTACTCTCCGTGTAGATTTCTGCATAATGTGACAAAAATGGTTAGCCATTGTCTCCTTCCTATCCTGCTATAAACCCCAAAATTGTGAGTCTGCTCTTTAAAAATCTAGAAAGGCTCTTGTTATCAAGGGATTATTATTATTTTTTTTGGGGGGGGGGGAATACGAGAGTTAGCTTTTTAGCAGAGATTTTAAATCAGCAATATTAAGGTTCCTGCTATTTGCTAATCTCACTTTATAGCCCACAGTTGATCTGCAGTTGTTAGGATTTTAATCCGTATTGAGAGGAAAGGCTTCCATTATTTCTGATACCAAGAATGTTGGCATTTTTCTCAACTCCCCACCCCCATCTACACACACACACACACACACACACACACACACACACACACCAGTCAATCTTTGTGTTTGTTTCAACCAGACCTGTTTTACTGGTTGGATAATATTTTAGGGTGGGGGTGGGCGAGTGGAGGAAAGAGTTAGTACTGTTCACGCCATCTTTAGCTTCTGGAGTAAAATAAGGGCTATGAATTCGACAAATAAATGAGTTACTCTGCAAATTGCTGTGATTAGCAATTGGGAGGCCTGAAGGTCTTGAAACATGCCTTGTATCTCCAGGAGACCGAGCAAGGTAAATATTAAGGATTTGCAGTTCAATGTTGGAAAAAGCCTCAGGCAGGCTAACAAATGAGTATAAAGACAGAAGAAGAATTAAAGGCTTTAGGCACCACATGCAATATTACTTTGTCCTTGCTTTTCCTCTGTCTGCACTAAGCACACCATCCCTTTTAATTTCTAAAAATGGAATCAAAGCCAAATACTAATTAGCGCAATGAAACCATTATTCTGGCAAAAAAAAAAAAAAGTCGTTCTAAGATGTTTAGTAGCAGTAAAGAAAATGCACAGAATTCATTTCTGTTTTCTGGTGGATCAAAACGAAGTTTTCTGACTTTTGGCTCATTATTTTTGCAGGCGAAAAACCATACAAATGTGAATTTTGTGATTATGCAGCAGCGCAGAAAACCTCTTTGCGCTACCATTTAGAGAGACATCACAAGGACAAACATACAGAAGCTTCAGCAGATCTGAAAAATGACGGTAAAGAGTTATTGCCTTCCCAGGAGACAGGGTTCTTGTCAGCAAGCGGTGGCCATGCTCCAGAAACCAAAAACCTGAAAAGGCTCCTTGAAGACGCCAAAGATGCCAAAGGAGTAGTCCCACCTGCAAAACAGCAGAAAGAAGAATTTTACCCTTTTCACGGTGCGCTCAAAAATATAACTCAGGACATGAGCAAAGACTCAAACTGTGATGGCTTGAAAGAGGGCGCATCTGTTTCAGGTTTTTTAAAACGTGCAAAAAACACAGTGGAACATCAGGCAAACCGTCTTGTTAATAGAACTGAAAAAAAGAATTCTGAGTTAACAAAAAATGTGTTTGATGCTGGCAGAACGAAGGCGGATTTAAGTGACATTACCGAAAACTCAAAATGCATATTAACAGTTCAGGAAAAGCCCTTAAATTTATCTACCGCCTCTTCTCAGGATGCTCCAGTAATTCTTCATTCTCGGTGTTCCTTAGCAACCAGCACCTGTCCCTTTTGTACTTTCCGGACATTATATCCAGAAGTTCTCATCATGCATCAACGGTTGATGCATAAGTCTTCTAATAACCTCAATGCAATGACTAAAAATAGCATTAGAAATAGGGCCGCTCATAAAGCCAGACGTACAGGCTGCCCACCTTGCCTTTTGGGCAAGGATGTGCTACCACTGCCTCTTAATTCTGGGAAAAACAAATCTTCCTTGCTCGCTCAGTCAAAATCTCAGCCTGTGGAGAAGGCGAGGCAGTGTCCCACCCCACAGGGCAAAGGGCCCATTCTCTCAGGACAAAACTCCAGCAGCTGGGCCCCAAGCAACTTGAAATCATGCAAACCTCAAATGATCGGCATTCCGATTAATAACTGTAGACAGGAAATGCACCAGAGCCCTGGTCGCTCTTCGGTGCAAGATAAAGGGAAATCAAGACTTTTGGCTTCTCAGTTAGGAACAGGCAATAACAACATCAACAACTCTTCAGAGAACCCTTTGAACAAAGCTAGTCGAGAAGTAGAGTTTTTCAATAACAGATCTACCGGAAATAGATATGTGGGATTTGATGGACTGCCTTCTAAAAGATTTAGGCCTAATCTCTTTGCTCTGGAACAGATCGACTCTGCTCGACATCGGACAGAGAGTGAAACTGCTAGATTACCTCTTTCAGGCAAATATTCAGGTCTGCTCCCTCAGGAATGTTCACACACCAAGCATGCCTCTCTCCTGCTTTTCAAACAAGGCCTCATGAGCTCTGACAGAGATGCTGTAAATCCAATAACTGTTCTAAAACCATATGAAACATACAACCCGGGACCATTTGCCAGTTCCTGTGGATCAAGCGGCAGCCACATCCCCAGCTCTTCAAAAGAAGGTATGTACTTTCTTAGCTTTTCAGCAATGAATGATGGAAAAATTAAGACATTCTTTAAAACAAAGAGTACTTGCCAAATGGAATTGTAATCTTTTACAGCCATTGCAGTAGTCATGGGATATAGATATGCACTAAACAGCCCTGTCTTAATTTTATTCCTTTGTTCATGTGTTGTAATGTTTGTTACTAGGAAAAAGACCAGTGTCATATCAACACCTATCTAACACCTTGCTGCAAAAGCGAAGTTATGAGAGCTTCATTGGCAATACCCATAGCCGCCTGAATGATAAGAAAACATGATTTGGCTGCTACAGATGGTAAGGCACATTTCATACACAAATGTACATATTTTACATTTTCAGCGCTATCTGAAGGACCTGTGGGTCATCACTATGTCTTGCTGAATTGCAGCACCCATCATTTTTTTACCATGGCCATGCTGACTGGGTTCTCTGGGAGTTATAGTTCAGTAGCACCTGGAGAGTGTCAGACTTCCCCTCTTTACTGTAAAGGAATTTTCTTTAACTCCGTGCTCTGTGGATGTGTCAAGACATCCAATTCTCTGATCTATCATGTCCTTAAACATCTGGAAAATTTAAAAGTTTAAAAATTGCCTAGTTTAAAGTGTGTGTGTGTGTGTGTGTGTGTGTGTAATTTTGGGGAGATCATGAAGTTACCCTAGATTCCAAGTTGTGTTCTAGAATTGTATTCCAAAGTACAGGTGAGCCAAGACAAAATTAAATTTGAACTTACTTAAAAGTTAATGAAATAATCAATTAAATGCAGTTAATAAGATCTTACATTTAACACATTTCCTATACTGACATTTTAAAAATTAGATTTTGGCAGTAACCTTTGAAATATCTCAAGTAGCCATTTTCAAGATGGGAGGACACAATTTCTGTGACTCCAGTTTGGAAAACGTTAGAGGAATAACCGAAATATGTGTTAAGCTGGGCTCAAATTATTAAGATAGCATTAAATGCAAATAAAAATAACCTGTCCAGAAAATTATTGTACTTTCACTTTCTATTAGGTAGGAAAATAATGATGAGCTACAATTCCAAGTATCCATCACTGTCTAATGCTTGCTATAGCTCCTAAGAGGGTTGTTCCTCAGTATATCTAAGACCTGAAAATTGGGTGGTTATTATTTTTTTTGCTTCCCAGTTAAGTTTTACCATGTAGTTAAATTTCCAGAGTATGTATTGTTTGGGTCTTTTGTTTCACCATAAAGTAATGATATTTCTTCCTAAAATGGCTTTGAGGTCAAGGTTTGTATCTAGAACTTATTAGATTTGATTTCAGGGCCCCAGCAGATACTGTTGGAAAATACTGTTACTTTACAACCGACACATCATAGTTGTCACAGGCCAGTTTCCATTGCAATCTTAAATTATGTAAAATGAAATCTGACCCCAAAGAATCATGTTTTTACCTAAACTTCAATACCATATTTCCTACATTTTGTAGTAAATCTTTAGGAAGATCAATCCCTTTATAATATGTAGAAACAATGCTAAAAAAAAATCTGTTTTTGTATCTGTTGTGAGTCATTTGAAAAGGAGTTTCTTTTCTCCCTGTATTCCAGGTATGGAGACACAGACTTTGAATCCCCTTACAGTTCATCTCTTCAGATTGATAGAATGATGGAAGCTACCAAACTAAGCTGTGATTTTTACTGTGCACAGAGGAAAAACACTACAGTTGTATAATGGAAGATTTGATCCTGTTTGGATGAAGCAATGTAAACGTTGTTGTCCAAGACAGTGTTGTCTAAGTGTGTGTATCTTTTCCCAATCTTGAATAATATTTTTTTCTTAGAATTACTGTAGACCAAATATTCGACTTAAATATATATATATTGCATATGTGAGTGCTGCTGATATTGTGTGCAGTCCTTGCATCTCAGGTAAAGCTGTACATTCTGTTTTCCTCATTGAAATACAGAGAGGATCTTTTTGCCTAAATATTTTCAGGTTTTGCTTTTTTCTTTAAAAAATAATTGTCAAAATGGAACCTCTCCATGTACTGCTTGTGTTCATTTTAAGCACAATTATCACCCGTCAGATTATATCAGGAACATTTAGCACCAAACAAGACCATACGTTCTTTGGAGACATCATATTTTTCTCAAAATGAATCTTGTTTTATTTTTCTTTTAACATCACTTCCATAAAGGAATGGAATTAATTGATTGCACTCTTGGGTAGTGTAGGGTAGGGATCTCCAACTTGGCAACTTTAAGACTTGCGGACTTCAACTCCCAGAATTCTTCAGAGATGGAAGTCCGCAAGTTACCAAGGTTGGAGACCCCTGGTATACGCATTACAGTTACTCAAACCTTTGACATAAAGACATAATTCCTCTCTTACAACGAACACAGAATGTTTCTAACTGTATGCCTTCTGTGTATTTCAGTTCATCCCTTTTTCTTTTCTTAAATGCCATTTTCACCTCTACACGTTCATCATTTTGCAAAAATGTATAGATGTAAATAGATTGTGTACATATGCCTAAGAGGGAAGGTAAGATTCCTCTCAAATACCAATGTCAATTATACCAACTCTCTCATATATATATATATATTTATGGATATAGCAACTCTTGCATATTTACTTGACAAACTGAAGGTTCAATCTGCCTCCCTCACGTGGCTTCATAAATGGAAGATTCCCACAGATTGCCGTGCTTTCATTCTCTCTTGTCCCCATCTCAAAGATTGTTTGCTTTGGGTCAGGATAAATTTTTAGATACATTGATACACAGGAGTTGCCTTGAATTGGAGGCTTGTGGACCCTTAAAGAAATTTGGCAGCCACACTTCTCCATATAAACTACATGTACGATTTGTGTCCCATTTGAAAAATTGGGGCATATCCCCAGCATTGTTCGCCAAAATCAAAACTGTGTGTATAAGGGGTCTTGTGAGGTAATTTTTGTCTATCCACACTTTGTAAGTAGTTCAGCCCAAAGTTGAGTGATGAATTTAATGGGGAAAGGTGGTTTGTTGTTTTTGTTTTGTTTTTTTAAATCCTAGAGGGGTTTTGTTTTTGTTTTTTTGTTTCCAACTGCACAGGACTGAAAATTGAATAGGAGAATAGTTTGCTGGCTAAAAAAAATGAATTGTACAATGTTGGAGCTGGATGTTCCAAGCATTTTGTAAAAGCCTTTATAACAACAGCTTAAATGTTATTTTCTGTTTGACATACCCGTGTTTCCAGAACAAAAATGGTTTCAAAAATACTTTTTTGCACTGTTGAATGTGTTTCCTATCAGATGTAAATATGCAGAAGCTAGGTAGACATTCTTGGAAATTTTCTTCACACCCAGCAAGCAACTTGGGAAGCGTTTTAATTTTCTGACTTCCTGTGTGTGAAAAAAATGCATCTCTGTAAAACTGGCAATGGAATGAAGTGCTGTGTATCAGGAAATTGTACAAAATTTACCCTTTTCCTGTTCATAAGCTGAGCCATATGTACATAAAATCTAGATTTGTTTTCCTAGTTTTGCACTTTTATAGCCTATTTTTGAAGATGAATACATTTGGAAGATGGCTGATCTATTTTTGCCTGAACCTTCAATGAGTCTTGTCTCTTTTTTCCCCCTGTTTTTAAGTAATGGAGCTTAATGAAATAATAATTTAAAAAAGACCAGGACTGTATTTAATTACAGGTTTTAAAAGCATCTCTTGCTTTTTGTTGGTGCAGCCTTTTGGAAGCTTATAGGCACCCTTCAAAACTGGAGACAAAATTAAGAACAGAGGCCTTAGTTTCTAGTCAGGGTTCCCAGTCCCATTTTCCTTTTAAGCACGGGAATTACTGCAGCACAAGCTTTTTCCTGTCCTACTCTATGAAAGGCCCTGGCTGGCTCTTGTTCTAGTCCAGGGGTCTCCAACCTTGGCAACTTTAAGACTTATGGACTTCAACTTGAGTTGAAGTCCAAAAGTCTTAAAGCTGCCAAGGTTGGAGACCCTTGTTCTAGTCTACATCAGAGATAGATCAGGTTGCAGGAGGGAGTAATAGTACTTCTCTTCACACTTCCTATGTTATATTTGCAGCAACTTCTGCATATTTTGTGGACTTCAACTCTTCACATACGCAGCAGGTTCTCAGTGGTCTGGTCATTCTTTGAGATGATCTATACATCTGGAGGATGTCCAGATAGAGGAAAGCTGCTGATGGGATATTGCAAAAGAGTCCTTAAGCATAGTCCACTAAGCCTTTCTGGACAGAGATGTGGTACCAATCAGGTCAAAAGGAAAAGATGCTGCTTATTTGTAGTTATTTTGTAAATTACAACATTGGTCTCCAAAATAGGTTTGCCCATCAGTATTAACTATGGGATACTACTGTGTGTTTCTTTTCTTCTTTTTGGTAATAGTGATGAGAATGCTGGTACAATTGTTATATTTATTTCTTTCTACCATGATTTATAATTGTTAAATTCTTACATTGTTGAACTGTAGACACCATAAAAATCATTTAATTTATGCTGCGTTTTCAATTTAGTGTAATTTGTTATATGTGATGTAAATACAAATGTGAGGGTTTGGGTTTTTGTTTTTGTTTTGAAAATACTTTTTTGTGGTCCTTTATTTTATTTTATTTTATTTTTTGTCTTCTGAATATATTTGAAAAGAACCAAATAGGGATAATGTTGACTCATAGTTATGAGTTGAGAGATATGGTGTCTTAAGATGTATTTATTATTTCACATGGTTACAAACATTTTTTGTGTTTGTACATTTACTTCGTGTTTGTGTGTGTGCTTGTGTGTATGTATTGGGAGTGAAAAAAAAATCAACAGTGGCCCATGGGATGGAGGGCAAGGGGAGTCACATTGATGAAGGCAGCTTTAGAGCATTGCAAGATGCCAGTTATGTCCAGAAGAGGCAGATTTTACACCAAGGATGAGCAATTAATTTTTCCAATGTACCACATGAGAAATTGTGGAGGGCCGAAGCAATACACTGAACCTAATATCCACATGTTGAGGGAAGAGGGAGTGCACAGCCTCACTTCAGCCCAACCACTACTTTTCTATCACAGATGCCAAAAAGTTATCTTTTTTTTAAAAAAAATTGATTTATATGCCGCCCTTCTCTGGAGACTCAGGGCGGCTTACAATGCGTTAGGAATAGCCTTCATACTTTTGTATATTTATACAAAGTCAGCTTATTGCCCCCACAAACTGGGTCCTCATTTAACCTACCTTAGAAAGGATGGAAGGCTGAGTCAACCTTGAGCCTGGTGAGATTCGAACTTACAGTAATTGCAGACAGCTGGTGTTAATCACAATGCTTTTAGTCTGCTGAGCTACCAGGCCTGCTGGTCGTCTTGCTAGCTGACTAAATAGCAATAGCACTTAGACTGATATACAGCTTCACAGTGCTTTATAGCACCACCCCCACAATCGCGCGTCACCTCCCCGCATGCCCCTGTGCATGCACGGCAGAGACCCGAAGACCAGCTGGCCGGCAGGAGGCGTGCACACGTGCAGCAGAGCTGAACTGGGGCGATGGATTGCGGGCCATCAGAGAGGGCGCTGTGTCACCAGTTTGCCATCATAGGCTTATAGAGTCAGCCTGTTGCTCCCAACAATCTGGGTCTTCTTTTTCCCGACCTCAGAAGGATGAAAAGCTGAGTCAATCTTGAGCCATTGAGAATCGAACTGCTGGCAATCAGCAGAATTAACCTGCAATACCGCGTTCTAACCACTATGCCACCATGGCTCTAAAGATATATGATCTTCTCCCATCCCTGTGGTGCGCTTATTTACATTTTTATTTTCTAACTTCCAATTGACCTCACACGAGCCAGACAGGGCTAGATGTGGCCCCCAGGTCTGGTTTATGCTGTGATGCTGCATTCATTTAACAAAAGCAACAAGATTCTATGGACACCACCAGAAATGGAAGTTTTTCCTCTCGTCTACTAGGAACAATGTGTGCTTGTAGATTTTGCCTTCGTTCAGCCAGATCAGTAAAACAACGCATGCAGCGTTTTGGCTTGCGTGTTAGTTCTCCCATGTGGTATGTTTCAGCTATTCTTTGGTTTAATATAATGTTTTTCAAACTTGTCCACTTTTAAGTTGAGTGGACTTTAACTCCCCAAATTCCCTAGCCGTGCTACCCGAGTTGGAAGACTACTACCCTAGTTTGAAAAACACGGATCATTAAATAACTTATGTGCAAATCATATGTGCTTTTGTAAATTAGATTTGATGCCGGCTTGGAAGGAGTAGAGTCTATACCACAGGAGCAGAACATTGGGGTAATTACAGGAGAACTTTCTGTACTTCTAGCTAAAAGATCTTGCTTTCAATGATGTCCAAGATTTTTGAAGCATAACCTTCCATTGCATTTTGCAGTGATCCAGTTTTGCTAGATTCAGATTTAAATGAAAGCAGTGGATGGCTACCTTGAAATAATGTTTCATACAGTAGAGCCAGTTTGGTGTAACTGGCCTAGAAATCAGGAAATTGTGAATTTTAGCCTTGCCTTAGGCATGAAAGCCAGCTGGGTGACTTTGGGCCAGTCACTCACTCTCAGCCCAACTCATCTCGCAGGATGGTTGTGGGGAACATAGGACGAAGGAGTATTTAATATGTTCACCACCTAGAGATTTTTATAAAAATAATAAAGCGGGAATAAAGATAAATAAAAAATAAGTAATTGGAGGGGTTTATTCCTTTAGGTGTTTTCATGGCAGAAAGTTTCAATCCTCTGAATAGTTAAGCTATAAGGTCTCTTATTTCAAAACAAAACAAAACAAAACAGTTGTTGGATACAAGAAGGGCAGCAAATAAATTTTCTAAATATTTTTTTTAAAAAACTGCTAGTGACACACTTTCTAAATTGTATAGGAGCATCTTCATAAAAATTACTTTCAAATCCATTTAATATAGTAATCTTATTAGCCAGATAGCCTCAACCTGAGATTCTTAAGAGAGAGGGATTTTGCACAATAGGTAGTGATTCCACCAAGGCCTGGGGCTTTGTAAAATCAGTTTCCCATGCAGCAGTGCTTAGTAGGAAGATCTGCTTTGGAAAAAGTTTTTCTTTTTGAGTAAAGATTTTGTTCCTTGGACACTTTCAGAATCATTTCATCTTAGACATTTCTGCCTGTCTCATACAGCCCACAAGGGGGCACCCCAAGGCTAGTTGAGATTTAATTTCCAAATAGCTTTAAATCCTTTTTGTACAAATGCTTGCTAATGAACACTGAAAATAAGCAATTTAATTTTATTCTTACAAATGCCAGCTCAAGTATGTTTGCAACTGAATTCCATTTTAAACCATTCTTCCCTTTAGATACATATAAATGGTTGGAATTTGGAGTCCCAACAATATCTGGACATTTAAAAGTTGTTCATCCCGTGTCCCATTCACACACCCTAGTTCGCAATCTTTATTTTCTATCACAGTGATGGCGAACCTTTTCAGCACCAAGTGCCCAAACCGCATGCATGCGCGCGCGCTGGAGTGCCGGAAACCCGAAAACCAGCTGGCCAGTGCACGCATGCCTGTTTAGGGGCTGTTTTCCGGCGCTCCGGCACCCGCAAAGAAACAGCTGACCAGAAACCAGAAGAGCAGCTGGTGATTTTAAGATGGGACCCACACAGACATTCTAAGTAGAATTTTTACACTCCTGTGCCAAAGCTTTTGGGCTTCCTCTATGGCATTTGAATGCTGTGCATACTCCTTCAGTTCTAACAGTTAAAAGACGAATCAAAAAGGATATTTCTATTCTTAATGAGTATTATAAAATTGCTGTTTTACCAATTGCAATTTAAGCCCTGCTAATTTTAAGAGATAACATATAAAACAGTTTTCCAGAGTTTTTGTTTTTGTTTTTTTGCTTATCTTATTGGAATCGGGGGGAACAAAAATATAGAATGGCTGGCAATTTTTTTGTGTAGTGACCCAGAAAGCACACTCTTGCAGTTACAAATTTCTAACGTTTAATATCCGCATGTGACATAAGGTGTATTCACATGAGTTCCCATAAACATCCATCTTTAATATGCTGAGTACCATGTGTCCAGTGCTGGGTTTCAATTTTTTTTACTACCAGTTCTGTGGGTGTGGCTTGGGCGTGGCATGGCTTGGTAGGCATAGTTTGGTGGACGTGGCAGGGGAAGGATATTGTAAAATCTCTAATCCCAACCCACTCCAGGGGAAGGTTACTGCAAAATCCCCATTTCCTCCTGATCAGCTGGGACTCAGGAGGCAGAAAATAGATGGGGGCGGGGCCAGTCAGAATTTTTACTACCGGTTCTCTGAACTACTCAAAATTTCCACTACCAGTTCTCCAGAACTGGTCAGAACTGCTGAAACCCACCTCTGTATGTGTCCCATTACAATTTGTGCAGAACTCCTCTTTAGAACAATGGATGCAAGCTAGATTCTTCCAAATGTGTTGGTCTAAATTTAACACCATGGAAACGGTTGCCCATCACTTTTGAGGAAAGCACTTGGGCACAGATAGTCTTAGGGCAAGGATCGGAGCAGGGTTTGGCAAAATTTGTGGCCTGCCAGATGTTGCTGGACCAACACTGAGGAACATAAGCGCTGGTCACAGCTGGGATATTGTTGTGGTTTCTTTGCTAGAAGAAACCTGGTTCAAGAATTCCTAGATGGCAAATTCCCACATTCACAAGCCCTAATTTTAAATATTGTAAACTTGCTTAACTCACTTAAAACAGGAATACAGGGAGCCTCCCACTTTATTGCAGCTGTCCAAAAATGGCAACGTTTAAAAAATGTACACTTGGTTTCATATGTGAAATATTCGTTCACCTTCCTTGCAGAATGAAGAACAACGGGGGTGCAGGTGGGGGGCGGGGAGAGAAAGCTGGTAAAAGCAGGGGGAAAAATAGGTTTGTATTAAAATCCCCTCTGCACTTAGGGCAGTAAATTACCAATGGATTCAAAATGGCCCATAAATTGAATATTTTAGTGTAAGTGAAGTGAGTTCCAGTGCTCTAAAGTGACTTTATAGCGTATTTCCTCTTTTGTTCCTCTTAATCATCCAGGTCTTCCGAAAAACATTTCATCTGCCCGATAACATAATGGTGCTAGGAGGTAAAAGTTGCTCATTTGTGTTTTTAAAAAAGGAGAATGAGAGTGATCTCGGCAGTAATGGTGTCTTATGATGAGATGCTTATGCGCAACTGCTTTCAAATGGGTTTTAATTATAGAATGGCAAACTCAAAAGGCACTATGTCTATGGGAGATTCTCAATCATCCAGGTCACGGTTGTCCCAAAGGTGCTTTGCTCCAAGAGGCAAAAGAGAAAACAAAGGAAGTCCAGTTGCCTCTTGGAAAACAGTACCTTTGGGTCAAAAGGCTCTAAGAATCTGGTTTGTGAAACTTTGATTTTTGTTTTTTCCCTCTCCTGTGAAAAGCACCGGGAACTAGCCTATTTTAAACACAGCAGCAACCCTTCCCTAAGGATCAGTGGTGGGTTCCTACTGGTTTGGCCCAGTTCGGGCGAGCTGGTAGTGATGATGGTGAGCTGAGAGCGAACCGGTTCTTTCTGATGGTTAGATTGGCCCTCCCACCCGCCCCTGC